CATTTTTTATCTCAACAGATTAGAAAAACAAAGGTTACCATTCAGGACGTTTAACCTTACAGTACAAAGTATTGCCTATTTAAATAATGGGGAAAATACAAAGTTATTTTAACCAAAGCTGTGTCTAGTTTCCCCAATGAAGGTTTGATATAGTGTATCTATGGCCTCTCTAGGAACAGTCTGTAGTGAGGTCCCAATGTATTGCTCAATGCAACTCTCGTGCTGTTGTCTGAAAACACTAGAACATTTTTTTTTTCAAAAATAAACCTTAGCCACAAAAATCAAATCTTTGTACTCAAGGATAATTAAATTGTTAAATACAAAGCAACAGTTGACAAATAAGATACAGTGCATTATACTAGCAATTAGTCACAGTGGGACATACACACACATACACATCACACCAAATAAGTGGAAAGAGAATGACTACTACTACAAGTCACATCTGGGTTGAGGAAGTATGGCTTGTACAGATGCCAAAACAAGAGAAAAGGCTCACAAGTTTCACCACATGCTGCCAAAGCCCCATCTGTGGACAATGTCTTTTCTAATAATATACACATAATAAAACATACAAGCCAGACAGCAAAACAACTTGGAATGTTAAAAAACATAACGATATGAACCTATTGTTAAGTGACTGTAATAAAAAAAAAACAAATGGAATCAAGTTTTTGGAATCAAAATTTAAAGTGAAAAATACAACGCTTCCAACTCACCATTTACCAAACACATCAAATGCAAATCATGTGCTAACTCGGTTACAAAAAAATGTGTTTCACAAAAATGTTCAATACGTTTGGGATGTATAGAGTAAATAAGTATACAAAAAACACCAGCTTTCTTAATACTCATGAACAGAGTCAAAATGGTAAGTTAACTTGCATGCTAACACAGCGACAGCTCATAACTGTATTCTTCTAAAGTGTTTGTAGTGATTTCTCCTCGTATTCTACATCCACAAAAGTTTTCAACATGCTACCAATAATTTATTGTGGTTGTAACTGCTCTAAATTTTCTTTTAATATTTTTTTAATGGGCAGCAGCCAATTAGTCTCTTTTTTTTTTTTTTTAAAGTATTTTAACTTCAGGGAGATTTTTTTGTATTTAACATTCAAAAACTCCCCGACAGTTGCAGGTGATAAAGAGAAGGATGTACACACCACTGCCTTATTAAAAACTCAAAATTTAAAAAAAATCTACCCAACACTGAATATTCTTAGGAAATGTGGATTCTAGTACCCACACACTGTGATCCTCACCGGTAACAAGAAATTCATGCACATTTAGTGTGATCTGAAAGCCCATTCTATCTACCAACACTGTACCTATCCTGGTGTTTTTTCTGACCTGTCACTATGAAGACAGTGTCACTTGGTTGTTTATGTTACTACCACCAACCACAACTCCTGGTATATCTGTGATAGATCTTGTTCACTGTATAATGAACACAAATCATAATTTCCATGATGGATAGTCTACTTAGTATGATGAAGATGTGTCTTGATTCTAATCAATAATTCTTACATCAAGATGTAAATATCTAGATATTTATCACAATAATAAAAATGGAAAAGATTCCCCACGTGTCAAATATTCCGCATAATAGCGGATGGAAATAAGCAAGCAATATATGGCACAATAAACATAAGTTATCAACACTGGAATAGTACGTCCGCTACATTGGAATAGTACGCCTGAACCACAGGGTTAAAAGGGGCAAAAGATTTTACCTTTATCTCAGCCAGCTTCTGAATTAGAATAGCCCACTAATTATTTTGTGTGTGTTCTAATTTTATCTACCAGATAAGTTTACAAGATTTGCTTTCTTCTGCCTCTGACAATCTTTCTATGCTACCCGTGTGGGTTCCCGGGGTCCAATTTGGGGGAGGGAGTGGGGGGGGGGGAGGACAACTGCCCCCTTTAAAAAAAACGGTCAGAAAAAGCGACTAATTAGGGGTGTTTCTTACAAAGTCGAAGTGCATCTGCTTAAGATATAAGGCACCACCAGTCCGCATACCAGTAAGTCAGATCTGTAAACTGATGTGTAGGCAAAACTCAAGTTCTGGAAGAAGACTTAAGTTTAGAAGCAGATGAACAACCAAAACTTTCTGTTGGAGCTTTCAGTCAGTGAATGTTAAATAGATCTTCCTATGCTCAGCAGACTGAACAAGGAGAAGAGCTACCTCCATGAATCCAGTCAGTAGCAGACAGTTCTTTCAGATGGCCCAGTTCTCTTCATTGTCTGGAACAAAGTGTCAGTTATTAAATCCTAAAGAGTGGGCACCACATTTGCAGTATCAAGTAAAAAGGGAACCCTTTTCCATGCCTCAGGCGTATTGGGTATATAGGGCTAGATCCATATTTTATAGAACAGATGGCACTGGGTGGGTGATGTGGTCAGCATCACACTGGCCACCTTTACTTCCCAGGATTTTAGCTCAAACTTCAGTTCAGGCTGGGTAAAAATGGGAACCAAAGATCATTTTTGCAAAAATCCAACTCAATGTGAAAATGAAGTGACCTTTGGTCCCACAGGTAAGCATCTTCATTAAAGCCAACTGAAAGCTGCCATCCGTAAAATAAACCCATAACTTTCACAGTGATGAGGCCAAGGGTTTAGTCCATGGTGCCAAAAAATGGTGGTTGTACCACGAATTAAAACCCTTGCATTCCTTAACTCTTTCACCATCCAAAGAGAGATAATACAACACATTTTGAGAACCACTGCTCTAATGTATGAAAATGGAACAAACCATGTTCATTAACAGAGATAAAGCATTCATCATTGCACCAGAAAACCTGACTTTAGCTTAAATGAGCAATAATGAAATGCTTCAAACACACTCTGATTACACATCCACGACAACTGCTGGAGCTGCATTGCAAAACTTCAGGTGAATTTCAAGAATGGCTTCATCAAAATGAATTAATGAGATCATCTGTTTTTATACCTTTCGTCAATTACTACTGGAAAAATCATCCAGCATATGAGATGTGATGAAATACATACATGCTGTAGTAATGAAAAATTGTTCTAGAAAAACGTTTTGAGCAAGACAAAATTATGTAAGCATAAATGATAAAGACAAATTTGAAGTAATCTAACCTTTTTTTTTAATTATACATAATTTTTATAGTAGTAAAAAGGGGCGATAAAGAGTTTTTAGGGGCTTGTATATACACAAGACGCTTTTAGTACAAGAAGGTTTTAGTAAATTTCTCTAGCCTTTACACTAAAATTGCATAAACTACTGGAATTTATTTAATAGTAGTCATCTAAAACAGGTGGCAATGAACAGCCAGACATGGAGAGCTATGCACCGCCATAGGCTCAAGAGGAAAGACTAACTAACGAACTAACCACTAGGGGACTGCTAAATATTCTTCTTCTTCTATACTCATACTTAAAAGGATGGCTGCCATGCTGTGTTGTTGTTTCCAGCCAGCTGCAAATACCTTTCCGCTCTACACATCTCATTTCAGCAAACCTCTGATTAATCTCCTTTTACAATATGCTTGATAGAGAGACATAAATAAAAAGAGGGGACCCCTGAGGCGCAGAAATATATAAATATATACATATAAATAAAGATAATGTATTGATCGGCACTCACAGAAAGAAGTAGAAAGATAGAAGGACATATCAGACGCAATAAAAATCGAAAGCTATAGTTATCATGCCAGGAATTGATCCTGTCGCCTTCAAATGGCGTGTGCGCCTCGCTATGGAAAAAAGTGTACTAAGAACATGCAGCTTGAAATCCACAAGAATGGAGTACGCACAGAATTCAACTCACTATAATGTCTGTTTAGTATTTTGAAGGAGAGATAGTAGCTATAATCTTTTTTTTTTCCCCCACCAATATGGGACCCTGGAACCCATTTAACAGTCAATTTAACAGTCAAATCCATTGGCATCTTTCTTGTCTCTGCTCAGCAGCACTCTGCAATTACTGACCAGCTATCAGCATACACCCATTCTGCTCAGATATGACAGGCAATGTACACTACTCACATAAAGCACACATAATATAACAAAGTGATACAAGGACAACACCACACAAGTTAAGCAAAGTGATGACAGCAGCTTACTCACACATAGTGACAATATCAACTACAATAGGTGAAGAGCTGTGAAACACCAAGAGGCTAAAAAAGGGGAGCAAGACATCTGAGGTGGGTAAATTAACAGATCTTTTATACACACAGTTTTGTAGACAGAAGGTTATCAGTATACATTCCCAACAATGCTTTCAACTTCCAACTGCGTCTTCTTATAGCCCATGACATGTGGTGCTGGTATGGTTTTCCACAACCTTCTATTTCATGTACTAACAATCATTTTTGATCCGGATGATCTTCCATGCCATAATTTCAAAAACTGTCCAGCATTTTCTCTCTTAGTCTCCCTTTGATTTACTTTCCCTCCAACTTCCCCACCAATCACGATGAGTTTCAGTTTTTGCCTTCTTATCTGACCAAAGAATGTTGACTGTCTCCTTCTGATGTGGTTAATCTGCTCTCTCTGTGAGTTATTTCTCTCAAGACATCTTTATTACTCCGTTTATCTGCCACAAAACAACTTTCTACCCTCCACACAAAAGCTCAACATCACCACTCTGCTGGCTTACAGACACTGAGCACAAGTGGTACAGAAAAGTCTCTAAAAATTCATGATTGACCCAATCACCAGTTTATAACAATGGATCTGTAGTTCACTGTAAACATGACTCCTGTTTATAAGTGGCTATAGGGTCCTTTATATAGAAAATCCTAATTTATAACACATAAAACATCTTTCCTTAGAGCTGTTTCATTTTCCAGTTTCTGACCATGCTCAAATTTCCTATAGAAATCTAAACAAAAGTCCTGTGTTGCTACTGGTCTATTTTACTTTATAATGTTAATGATCCTCCGTTGATTCTAAAATTGTGAACTGCTGTTTTAGAACATGAAGTGGTGAATCAGAATGTAGCAAAGCAGTGATTCTCAAAACATCATGTGGTTATGTCCCCATATTCACGGTTCCATTCCTCATAGCGTGCTATAGTATCCAAAGGAACACTGCGTCTAATCTTTTTCAGTGATTCTCTGAAGTCATTAATGTTGATTGGGCGTACCTAAATAGATAAGGAAAACAAATGGTTCAGACATGTGTATATTACTGTTTAACGAAGGCTAATTATTAAATGTAGGTAAAAAGGTAAAGGTTAAGGTGCGAGGATCGACTTCATTGCATCGGGTTTCTTCCCATATAGCTTAGTCACTCTCCACAGAACAGCTAGCTGCCTGCTAAAAGTCTCGCAAAATCACGACCTCCGTAGCTTCGGCAATGATTCCCAGGGATCTCTGTAAAAACTGCACTTGTGAACTGAAAGATGCCGCCGGGAAACAAACCTACGACCTTCAGAGTGTGAGGCAAATGGCTTGATCACTGCACCACAGAGAAATCTAGTTTAGTCCGAATCAAATTTAGTCTCTTAAATTACTTTTTTTTTTAAATTTGGAAACATTTTATAAATTCACTACAGATGAAATAAGAAGTGACAGAGCCACACAAGGGACATTCCCACAAGCAAACCATCCCAAATTTAAGCAGCCAGAACAGTCTTAATACTAATGGGGCCAGATGCAGGATAAATATATGTTCGTGTTGCCTTCCCTCTGAGTGGTGAGTGCTGGCTGGATTCTCTAGTTAATCCCTGTTGCATCATTCTCTCCACCCATGAACGTTCTATTTAGTCTTCCACACTGTTCACAGACTCGCAAAATTTACTACTGACCACTAACTACTCTAACAAAATAATTAGCAGATTACAGCAATATGCTATCAAACCATTTTATTTGTTATGTGAGAAAACAATTCTTTAAATTAACTTCTTTCGTCACAAAAGTATATATTAGATACGCAGCATCTGCCTTGAAATATGCCATACAAATGTAATTTCTTGGAAAGGCTACTCTGCTAATAAATGACGGAAAAAGAAGGGTGTGACAGTCATGGGGTGCGATGCAAATACCGCAGATTTTAAAAAAAAAGAAGAAAAGGAGGAGGAAGAAGAAGAAGAGGAGAAAGAGGGGGAAGAAGAGGTGGTGCTGGTATACAAGTTGGGATATTTTCAGAATTATGTTTAACCCTTTTTCCCCAGGAACACTCAATAAAAGAAGGGGAAAAAAAGATCACAACTCTGCTAAAATTCCAGAAAAAATCCTAAAAATAAAAAAACCCATTTATATTCTGGTCACTAATAATATAGTAAAGTAACTGACCAGCAACCAGAACTTTCCACGAGAATTTCCGCCCATGAATGCTGAAAAGAAGAAGTGTGTAAACTTACCCGGTTTGCATCCATAGCTTTGACTTCGGAAATACTCAACTCTCGTATAGGTCCCAGAGCTGCATCCTTTGCCAAAGCATTCAAATCACTCCCAGAGTAACCTTCCGTCTGCCTGGTGATAAAAGGTTTCAAAGAACCAATTACAAAATATAAAGATCACTTCCAGAGTCTGCCTGGTGATAACAAGGTTTCAAAGAACCAATTACAAAATAAAAAGATCACTTTCAGAGTAACCTTCCATCTGCCTGGTGATAACAAGGTTTCACAAAACCAATTACAAAATACAAAGATAATCTCAAAACTACATTTTCTCTGTTGTGAATTTAACTAATGAGGTCAAAAAACAATATAAAGGGTCTCCTGGACTTATGATCGAGTTTTGTTCCGACTAAGAGGTCGTAAGTCAAACTGGTTGTAAGTTAAATTTATATTTTTCAATACTATTTTCACTCAATCGGGTAATAAAAATTGTTTATAAAATATTCTTCTTTTTCTTCTTCACGTTCACCAGCTGTAAACTCTGGCCGAAAGTTCTGGTTTTTTAACCACTTTTGGACTGCAGTCCTGTTCCAGAACTTGAGTGTAGCGTATAAATCTGTTTTACAGATCTGACTCATTTGTATGCAGACTGCTGGTTCCTTGCCTCTCAGGCAGATGCACTCCAACTTTGAAGGAAGTTCCCAATTAGTCAACTCTAATGACATGCTTTTGGGTAGGCAGTGGGTCTGTTCTTGTTTTCCCTATAATAGGGCCCCAGAACCCACAGAGGGAGATGTTCATAATACATAAAAATGAAGTCTATATACAAAAAATTATTGTACATAATGTGAAAAAATATTTCATGTTCACTCTACTGAATCATACCCTTGAACTTTTTTTTACCATACCAGTGTAGCTATCTTTCTTTCTTTGTAAGTGCGGACGGTTATAAGTTGTACAGGTCATAAGTCGAGGAGAAGGACAATTTGTTGCCTGGCATATTTTACAGAATTTTGTTAAGTGCATTACTACAGAAATTACACCAACATATGATGAGCGCGCAAGCACGCACGCACACATACACACAAAGTCCCAGTTTATCACAGTAGGCATGAAATCCTTCCATACAATATTCCAGTTTATAACGGTGGAAACTTCTTCCCTTGGCGCCTTACAATTCTGTAGCTTCCATTCAAGCTCAAATACCAATTTGTACTTTCAATTAACCAAATTTGACTACTTCACAGCAATAATCGAGGTACACCAAACTGCCAAGAATCCACTAGCAAACAGTCCATGATTTAGTCAGCTACACACACATCTACACACACAGTAATGAACTGCATGAAGAAAACAGAAAATGATTTAAATAAAAAAAAAATTTAAAATTTAATTTACAGATTTTAAGCAAACAATGAAATTAAAGCTTACTTGGCTAAAACATCAAGTTCTTTAGGAGTTATCTGGCAACTCTGCTTGGACAAAAGATGAGACAGCATCAACTTTCTTGTCTGCACATCAGGCATAGTTACATACACCCTTTTAGGAAACCGTCTGAAAAATAAAAGAACACAGTAAGACTAGGGTTGCCAGATTTTGTAAACAAAACAAAAAACCAAAAAACTGAGTGATGACTCGTATGTTTATAACGACATTTTTCATTACTAACAGATTATAGAATATACAAATTTACATACTAAATTTTGTCTATAAGAACAAAATTTAGGCAGGGAAAGAATGGAGGAAGTGTTGGTTTTGCTGCGAAAGGGTTAAAGTCTGATGTTCCATCAGAAGATGAAAGGTAGAAGATGAAAGGTAGAAGAGAAAGGCAAATTAGGAAAGAATACAAGAAGGTCCTTACATATGTAAAAAAAGAATACGTGTGACATGTGTAAACATGTTTTTTCAAAAGATTTTTCGAGTATTTCCAAGAATTCATGACCCTTGATGACCCTTTTTTTCTGATTCCCTGGGTGAAAGATTTAAAAAGACGACTAATGAAGGGTTTGCTGAGACTGGATGTGTTGGAGGGAAAGGCGTGAATACTGCAACTAGAAGTAAACCCCAACAAAATGTGTCAACTGCCCTTTTAGGGGTGAACACATAAGAATAATTCCCCTCAACACCAAAAGTAAACAAGAAACAAGATAAGATGGATTATGAAGTGGACTCAAACAAACAAAATTTTAATAACTCACCTTAACACAGCATCATCAAGTTCCTGAGGCCTGTTAGTAGCACCCATTACTAAAATCCTATCTTCTGCACTGCTGCAAACCTGCAGATGCAATTAATTCTGATGAAAAAAAATATGTACTTACGTGGTTTGCATGTATGTACTCTATGGCTGGCTTGAGTGTACACATGTGTGTACACTTATGTACACTGATATGATATAAGCGCAAATGTCATACTAGCATGACCATGTGTTTATTTGGGGGATCCCCCCATGTGGGTTCCGGGGCCCTATTATAGGGAAAACAAGAATAGACCCACTGGCTACCCAAAAGCATTTCGTAAGAGTCTACTAATTGGGAGCTTCATTCGAAGTCGGAGTGCATCTGCCTGAGAGGCAAGGAACCAGCAGTCTGCATACAAATGAGTCAGATTTGTAAAATGGATGCACACGCAACACTCAGGTTCTGGAACACAACTGCAGTCCAGCAATGGAAAAAACAACCAGAACTTTCCAGAGTTTACAGCTGGTGAACGCGAAGAAGAAGAAGATTTGGGGGATCAACATCATGGCACACGTATATAACCCATAAGTGATCCATGTTACTTCTAACTCAAGCCTGAGTCTGAAGATTCTCAGCGCAGTGCACAAGCTCCGTTGTGCCGACGAGGATCCTGAAATACTCTGGGTAGATTTCATGTGTTTTCGCTAGATGCAGTTAGAGGAAGTTAACACATGCCAAACCAAACAATGCACCATATGTTTTTTATCAGCTTATCCTATATCTCTCATTACACCAATGTCTCTGTGGTGAAGTGGTCAAGACATTTGCCATCCTATTCTGAAGGTCATGGGTTTGTTTCACAGACATGTCATTCAGTTCATGAGTGTCATTTTTATGGAGATCCCTGGGGACTGTAGCTGAAGCTACGAGTTTGTGCTTTGTGTTAAAGCACTCAGCAGGCAGATAAGTGTCCTGCACAGAGAGTTCAATAAATATGTGATAAACCTTGGCAATGAAGTTGATCCCCTCGATTTTGACCTTTTTATTTTTAACAATCCATCGCAACATGGAACAAGCAACTCACCCAACCCAAATCAAGACCTTTAAAGGTATATTCATAACTGGCTGGACTTTGCAGTTATTATTTTCTACAGGATAAGATAACAAGTCTCATGCTAACCCTGCTAAGATACCTCATAAGACATGCACTGCAAGTTACAGCATTCCTAGTCTTTGCTTCATTTATGAACCAAAATAACAGATGGCATTAATTTTTGTTACACATATGATATTCTTTTCATATCTTCTGTCCTAGACAATTATTACATTAACTTTCACTATCCGAATTAGTATTTTAAATCCTCTAGTCTTATAGTGTCACTGTTTTCAACTCTAGGTTCAAATCATTACATTCCTTTAAATACAATGTATTTTAATCCCATCTTATTTCATCTTGTTCCTCCTGCACCCTGCCATGTTGAGATAAAGTATAAACATCAGGATATCACCTGCTTGTGTGTTTTATATACAGGAATTCAGCCCTTGGCAGCTGGTCTAGTAAGGAAGCTCTGTTCAGCAGACAGGCAAAGCCCTGCTTTGCTGATCCGGCAGCCTCGGCAGCATGCTTTGTTATAAACATACTGGAGTTACCTTTTCTTGAGAGTTAACAAAGCAGGCCAAGAGAGATATTAGGCTGCATGGGCAATTATTGTTTCTGCAAAAAAGCACAGGTTTTGTGCTACAGAAGAGGAACCTAATCCCTAGCCTTAACTGAAATTACCACAGTGTGTGAATCCCATCCATCTATAGCACGATTGTACACTGTCATCTGCAAAACCAGGAAAAGTACCAACAACAATATGAGGATTTATAGCGCTACTGTTATTTCCTCTGTCATACAGTTTATAAGGTGCGCAACAATACACACAGACGCCTGATCTAACTACCCAGAGAATAAGGAAAATTATCAAAGTCCACGTGAAAAAATCCCAGCCTTTACTGGGGCTTGAACCCGGGACCTCCAGCACTCGAGGCGGACGTCATGCCTCATGACTACTCAGTCCCTTATAGTTAGATGTGTCAGTTAGATGTGAACCATTTCACTTAATGTTTTATAATGTCAGCATCTGTTCAAAGCATGGCAACTGGTGGTGATGTATATCTTGAACCTCTTTATAGAATGAAATGTTGAACTGTTCTATACTTGTGTTCCTAGTCTAACTTTACTTAAACGATTTTATCAAAGCTGCAGTCATAAGCTCATAAATCCTCAGGACAAAAATGTAAATGAATAATACTCACACCATCAAATTGTACAAGAAATTCTGTTTTAAGCCTCCGACTAGCATCATGTTCTCCTTCACGTCTCTCACACAACAAAGAATCAATTTCATCTGCAAAAACAGATCATAACATTTCAGTTATGATTGACCTACCCCCCTTTGTTAAAAAAACATATAACTATTTCTTACTACACTGCAAATATATTTTACTCCCACACACCGACATTATCACAGACAAATCAGCACTTAATGGGCCAGCTGATTGAATATCACACCTTTACTGCTCACAACTCTTCCTGACACCTATTCAGTCTGGATAGACCCTGGAGGTCAAAGCAATGTTTGAAATAAGCCTCGATGGGACTTCAACCACATGATCATGGACCAGCAGTATGCTCACATTCTAAACAAGTAAGTTGAGTTGAATTGAATTGATTCAAGAACCAACATCACAGCACTTCAGGCATTCCCATAAGTGCTCCATCCCCATCTCCAGCAGCCAAAGCAGAGTTCCAATACCAATAGTGCCAGTAGCATTCTGACTGTATGTCTATCTTGCCTTTCCTCTGAACGTCGAGTATCGGCAAGATCTACTTTGCCACTCCCTGCTGCATCATCAGACTGTGGTGATCCATTTGCTCCTTCAAATTGTACACGTTCTCCCACCAAGGCCCTAACCAAGTCTGGCTTATCTTGCATCAAAATTCCGCCACGTTGTGCAGAGCCAGTCTGTCCGTCTTATCATTTCCCAAAACACTGACATACCCCGGAGAAAAGATCCAGACAATATAAATAAGTTTAAAATATAAATAATTAAATTAAAAAATTAATACGTAAAAGACCCTTTTTAAATCGCACATATGAAAGAATCATATTTTTATCGCCATTTGGTGGCTGGTGTGCTAAACACCAACCCCAACCGCCTTTACTTCCAAGGATTCACCTGGTACCAATTTTAGGCTGGGTCAACCTGGGAGCTAAGGTCAGTTTTAAAAGAAACATTAAAAGATTTCAACTTGCAGATTTGAACACAAGACCTTCAGGCCAGCAGGTGAGAATCTAGCCATTAAATTACTGTGGCTCCCTTACATTCTGTATACTGACCTATAAATATAATTGAAGGTTGAAGTTGTCTTGCAGCTACAAACAAGGTCCTGACAAGTTTCTCTCCTTCACCAACCTGTAATATTACACAAGATAAATCACACTTGAATATGTCTGTAAATCACTCTCTCTCTCTCTCTCTACATATATATCTACACAGACACACACATGCCCACACACACACGGCTGTGACGATTTACCCCACCAGGACATCACACTGAGCGATAACCACCTAGTGATAAAAAATATGGTATGAACGCCTGACGAATCTGCACATCATCCATATGCAGGGGTCATGCTAATCTTCTCTGTATCGTTCCAATTTGGCTTGTATACTGTGTGGACAGTACAACACTCACACACATGTGTGCGTGCATGTGTGTATGATGGTGGTGGTGCTCTCTCCCTCTCTCTCTCTACCCCTTCCTTCATTGTGTGTATTCGAAAATATGTATATTAATTAGTGTTTACGCACACACACACCCATAAGTATATTCTCACATTAAATATGTGCGTCAGCTTAGGGTATGCGAAGATTTCACACAAATGAGGTCATGACTTGCTCATTGTTTCATTCTTGTTAACCAAAATATGAACATATTCTGGACTGTGCGCTTCAAAGTGATTCTGTGAACTGGATTTAAACAAACCCCAATAGTAATGAAGACAGAGACAGAGCCCCATGGACGAGGATCCTAAAACCCCACAGCCAAGGACCTTTCTGACAGGTCACTGATACTGATATTTAAGATGGTCATACAAACAAACACTTAAGATGAAAAGGTTGGATGTGCATTATGTTTTATTTCACTATGAACTATTATGTTAGTTCTGTTTATACCATTATTGTGAAAGTTATAAAAAATAATTATTCCATCTTACATGCAACCAGCTCAAACATTTTCTTTTAGTCTGTCTTGTGGTGTTAGTAGTCTTGTCTATTTACAACCTTCTCTCTCATGCTCTTTCAATTATTTATGATACAGATGATCTTCCATGCCACGATGTCAAACTTTCCAGCATCTTCTTTCTCTCTTTTTCTTCCTCTGCCTTCCCCGCCCCCCTCTAACTTTTCCACTGTCATGAGGTATTCTTAGTATATACTGGTCAAACTTGCAATTCAAAACCCAGACTAATATTACACAGTGTATAAAATGCTAATGGCTGCATAGATAAAAGCTATATATTTATTCATCACACACATGACCTACAGCTTTCTAAAACTTACAAACTCCAGCTTACCCATTTTGATGTCAAACTTGAAGCACTTATATTAAAAAAGACAGACTTTGATTCATTGGCAACTGCTTTTGCCTGAAAAAGAAATATTTCACAAACTTTAAAGTGAATAATAATGGAAAAAGGCAAATAACAATGTTTAATATAAGTACAACATACCCATTTCTTCGGGGAAGAGGGGGGTCGGGGGGGGGGGGGGGGGGGGGGTATGTGGCGAAGTGGTCAAGCTGTTTGCCTCATGCTATAAAGGACGTGGGTTCATTTTATGTTCAGTTCATGAGTGCAACGGAGATCCTTGGGGATTGTCACAGAAGCTATGAAGGTCATGTTCTGTGCGAGGCTCTTGGTAGGCAGCTAGCTGTTCTGCGAAGAAAGGCTGAGCCATATGGGATAAAACCCAGTGCAATGAAGTCTATCCTCTTAGCTTTACCTTTTAATTTAAAATATAAAGATGGTTAAGAAGGAGCCAAAAATTAAATACTATTACTGAAATCTGTTAGTTACATATCCTTTACAGGAGGCTGCAAAACCAACCCAGCGTTTTTTTTAGCTGTTGTGGTTTTTCTAGGCAAATTTGACGTTCAGTAGTTTGCCACTGCATCCTGAATGGTCAGCTCTTGTTACCACTATCCAAACCAATCCAAGACAAACCATCCACAATTGGGACTGGTAATCTGGTAATCTGGTAATCCTAGTTTCAGCTTCATAGCAAACGGGTCACCCCACATATGCTCCGCTCCTGTGCCAACGAAAAACAAACGCAGCTCACAGTGTCACGCCATGCACTCAACTCAGAAGCTGGGCGACGAAACTACATCCTTCCAGTCTACAAATGGAGCAAAAATGCAACGGCCACCGTCTGGAAAAAAAAAATATTTGCCACGGCTTTAAAAAAAAAAAAAAAGGGGGGGGGGGGGGTGGCCGTACCTAGCGTCCATTTTGACCGGAAGAATTATATGAGGGTTAATAAACGGTCACCCCAGCAGTACCCTCATTATTAGCTGGGGAAGGGACTTAGGACATTACATCCACCAGCAGGTGTCGCCCCTACAACGACCTGCCTGCCATCGTTAACGACTGTTCACCCAACAGCCATGCAGTTCTTTGGCACGAAGGAGACACCTTGAACTTGGGTTTCGTACTGCCGACTCCCTACTAAGTTGTTATTTTATGTTCTGTTATCACAATTAATGTCACTGCACATTGGGCATACCCATGCGTGCTCAGTTCTCCGAAGCAGCAGCCACTCTAAAGTACTTCTACTAATTGTCCCCATGAGAAGCTGGTTATATTGTCTCCTTTCTCGGCCTCGAAGACGGCAAAGATGTGCATCACCATGCTTAACTCCCATGTCACGCAATCGTGTTAGTGTCAGGGATTCCTCATTCTCCACTAGCCCAGTTAGTACAGCGTTGACTATGTCTGCTCTGTCCATACTTTTTCCCGCAATCATAAGTGCAGTGCTTGCCAGTTGGTCTGCTCGCTCATTTCCCTTCACGCCCGCATGACCCGGTGTGTAGATCCAGGTTACGGAGGTTAAGTGCGATTTCCTGATGCTTTCTATCCATTCAGAGCGCATACTGCCTGTTGCTATCTTCTGAAGCATATTCATTGAGTCTGAGACAATTACTACCTGTGGGACTGAACCCGGCCTTCTGTCATCACGAAGCATGTTCATAACGCCAAAGCCACAGACGCCGACAGTCGTAGGTAAGTATTTTATGTTACTTTATTTTGTGTACATTCTTCTGTGTATGTGCTTCAGGTGTACAATGTAGATGCACCTCTTAGTGTAGATTGTGAACATTAAGGCTCTGTGGCTTAGAGTCTAGTGAAAATCATTTCACAATGCAATCCTCAACGTTTACCAGGGTTCAACTCCTACGATGGGCAGTTTAGAAAAAGATTGTTTTGTGTGGCTTTTTTTTTTTTAAAATAATCTAGTCACATATTGCATCAGAAATTCTGTGCACAAAATGGCTAACAGCCACTGAAATTGCAGAATTTATTGCACAATTAGAAAGAGCTCTCACCCAGGATCATTTCAGCGGAAGAAAATCAGAAGTCTAAATTGCCGTCAGAACATTTTTTTTAATTGTTTTTTTTACACAAATCCACAATCACATGATGACGACGATGAAAAACAAGATTACACAATTTTTGTTCTTAAAATCTGTTCAACTTGGTGCAAAAATGCAAAATATTACATGTTTATGTTAAATAGTTGTGAAACTATGGCATTTTTGTCAGTCTATATCAGAAAAAAACAAAATTTTAGTAGCCTTTTTTTTTTTTTGCACCAATCTACAGCCACACAATGATGATATAAAACAAGATTAAGCATCTTTTTTAATTCTTGAAATTTGTTCTCCATTCAATTTGATGCAAAAATACCAAATATTATGAAGATGATCAGACAATACATAATCACAAACAAATGTTAAAGACATACAACCAGCCTACCAGCAAAGTTTTGCCATTCCCAGGTGGACCAAAGAGTAGAAGCCCTCTCGCAGGAGCTCGTAGGCCTGTGAATAACTAACACATACGTAGAGAGTTAATGACAACTGCAAATGAATCTTTTAAATGTGAAATATAATGTAATATGCTCTAGCGATACATAATTCTTCATGTCAGATTTTACTTGGGATTAAAAGGTTAAAGTGTTAAAGTCAAGAGGATCAACTTCATCGCACCGGATTTATCCCATATGGCTCGGTCTCTCTCTGCTGAACAGCTAGCCACTTACCGAGAGCTCAGAACGGAGCACGAACTCCGTAGCTCTGGCAACGATCCCCAGAAATCTCTGTAAACATTGCACTCATGAACTGAATGGCACAGCCATGAAACAAACCTTCAGAGCACCACGGAGACCTCCCTCCCCCCCATTTGGGATACCTAGGTTAAGAAATCTTAGTCTGAAATCCAAGTTTAGAGTAGATCTTTTTTCTTCCTCTGCGTTCATCCCAAGATGTAAATGTGTTGTGCCCGTTCACAACACGGCTGCAATATTTGTGTCTTTCGGCCAAAACATCCAACTTCTGCATGAATATGTTGCACAGGTTAGCCTTTCCAGGCCAGAGTGGATGAGATTTTGATGTCTGTTCTGACTCATGCAAGGAATTTTACAAAATAAGCACATAGATGGTACACCCTCCCTTGATTCTGAAGTAGGGGGTCAAAAATCTAGCCATCTTAGAAAAGACTTTTTAAAAACCTGGGGGTCGGGGGGGGGGGAGGTTATGTGTTTCTGTGTTATCTTTCAGTAGTTGGAAATTGAAACAAGCAGACCCAACCAGTTGACCAGATAACATTTTTCTAAGAATAATGTAGCTTTCAAGGCAAGCAGTAAAAACAAAACAAATGTGTGGACAACTGCTGCTATTAACTATTATAAAAATAAAAAAGACAGCGGTCGACTGGGCACATCTTGAGGACAAGAGGACAGAGAATCACCAAACAGACAATTAACCCACTGACTACCAGCGTCGCACGTAATGCGACGAGGCGACGTTTACGTCCTGTCACCAACGTTGCACCCTTTGCGATTTTAGCTTTGGACGCTCGCCGTCATGTTAAAATCGCGATTTTTATGATGGATTTAGTTGAAACCTCTAGCTTATTCATTTCTGTATGGTTAATTAAGGGAAATAACTTCGTAGTGCTTGAAGTAAATATTTGACGAATTTGTTTAGTTAGCTCCCATGACGGTGAGACATTGAGGAAAAATTCATCATGGCGTCAAATTATCGGAGCCATCGTGGTGGCAGTATCTCTCCTAATTTTTCTAATGATGCATTCGATTTTCTTGATTTTGCTTCCAAAATTTGTTTTGAAGACACTTCTGAACAGTTTGATGGCCATTCAAAACATCATCGACTGTAAAACGACAGTATGAAGCTTCGAAGTCAAGTCTGACAAAAACAGTGTTGTCGGCTGCAAGTACTGGTGCCGCAGTTTATGATGCTGATAGTTCTTGTAAGAGTATTCAGTCAAAGCCCACAGATTATAAAGATTTTGTGCGTGAGTCTGCACATGACGAAGATATCATTGCCGCTTTTGATTCAGAATCATCATCATCTGACGAATCCGGGGAAGATGTGCCACGCCCCCCCCCCCCCCCCCCCAAATGGTTGATGACTGGCATTGTGATTTAGAAGGCTTTCCTGGAGTACCCCCATTTACTGGCACTTTTGGTTTATTTCTGCCAGCAGGAACAAATGAACCACTGAATATTTTCTTCAGTAAAGAAATTCTGGCTGTGTTTGCTAAAGAAACAAACCGTTATGCTGAGGCAAAGATTGGTGCGAAACCAGACACCTGTTTTTCCAAGAACTGGAAACACACAACCCCAAATGAAGTAACATGGTTTCTTGTACTGTTGCGTCACATGTGTTGTGAAAAAGCCGTCTATTTCAGACTACCGGAGTCTATATCCATCTATCCACTCATCATTTGCTGCCACCATCACGTCACGGGGGCGTTTTCTATATATTGCTGTCAGATAACAGATTTGTCTGTTGCCTTTTCAGCACCATATCTACAGCCACATGATGATGATATAAAACACTAAATCTACATATGTCTTGATATTTGTTACCTATTTAATTTGGTGCAAACAATATCAGATACGATAAGTGATATTGAACAGTTGTGAGGCTGTGACATTTTTTGGGAGTCTGAATTATTGTCAGATAAAGGATTTTTCAGTTGCCTTTTTTGCAACAATCTACAGCTACATGATGATGATGATTATGGCAGGCAAAGTAAACCCCATTTTTTGTCTTCACATTGTTCTCGGTTCAATTTTGTGCAAAAATACAAAATGTAATATATGTTTGTTGAATATTTTTGAAAAAAAATCATCACTATCAATCTTTATTGTTGTCAGATAAAAGATTTTCAGTTGCCTTTTTTGCAACAATCTACAGCCACATGATGATGATGACTATGTCAGAGTAAACCTTATTTTTATTTTCTTTAAATGGGTTCTTGGTTTAATTTTGTGCAAAAAATAAAAAATATTATACATTTTTGTTAAATATTTTTTGAAAATAAGACATTTTTATTAGTCTTTATTGTTGTCAAAAAGATTTTTCGGTTGCCTTTTTTGCACTAATCTACAGCCACATGATGATGATACAAAACAAAATAAAAAACTTTTTTTTCTTGAAATTTGTTCTTCATTCAGTTTGGTGCAAAAATACAAAATATTGTGAGATTATATCAAATAGTTGTGAAGCTATGGCATTTTTAGTAAACACTAAAATACGTGGTACCTGGGGAAATGCAAGGGTTAATGTTCTTGGTAGTCAGTGGGTTAAATGGGAAACATGGGTTTACGTGTTTCTGTGTTATCTTTCAGTAGTTGGAAATTGAAACAAACAGACAAAACAGGCAGGAGGACAACATTTGCAAATTAGAATAGCTACACACACAAATGTTGTCACTGACATTGTGTGGACTATCTGACAATCATTAAGAAAGAATATTTGACCAGTAAACAGCATATTGTCTTGCTGAAATATTCTGGCTAAATCAAGCTCCTCGGTGGATAGAAGAAAAAACTATTGCAGAAGGCATGGTACCAAGAAAGAGGGGCAGACCAGCAAGAATATAGGCACATGATATAAGTGACACCTTGGGTGGAAAGTACACGAGGTGGGACAGCTAGTGAGAGACCGAGTTTCTTTCAGATGGACTGTGATGAGAGCGACATTCTGCATTTGAAATTCACTGTAGATGTCCTCCATCCGCAGAGTGTGTTGCAGGCATCTGAGCCTTCAAAGTATTGAAAGAACTGTTTTAACACCTGTTCTTTTCAATATCTCAGTGTTTGCAATCTTGTCTGGCCACTTAATGGCAAATAAATTATAACCTATGGTATTACATGAAACTACTAAAATCTATTTGCAATAAATACTTATGTTGTGTGCCACATATATGCCTGCAATATAATACAAAGGTTGAAAATGCAGTACACAGCAGTAAGAAAAGACTCCAGTCACACACTACAACAAGATGGCATTAAGGTTAACAAGAGCTCTGCTGAGCGGCAATGACACAAAAAGAAACAACAATAAGAAAGAGAATTATCTTACTATATCTCCCTGTGTGGGTTCCAGGAAAACAAGAACAGTCCCACTGCCTACCCAAAAGCATGTCATGAGAATCGACTAATTGTGAGCTTCTTTTGAAGCCGGAATGCAAGGAACCAACAGCCTGCATACAGATATGTCAGATCTGTAAAAGGGATGCACATGCAACACTCAGGTTCTGGAACAGTACTACAGTCCAGAAGTGGACAAACTATCAGAACTTTTCGCCAGAGTTTACAGCTGGTGAACATGAAGAAGAAGAGAATCTTATTAAACAAAATACCCACACACACACAAAACTTACTTCAGGCCTAAGAGCTGGTAGTATCACAATTTCTTGCAATGCTTGTTTAGCAGTCTCTTGGCCAGCTAAGGGGGGAAAACCCACACTTTTAAAGCAAAACTAAAATTAAACTACATATATTTTACAATACTGTGCATAAATAACTTGATTTATACATAACTTTTTCTGGAGCAAAGAATTTGCATATCTTGGTTACTCTATATAAGATATGCTTGTGTTAGTTTTCTCTGACTCGCCCACATGTTGTATGAACTGATTACAACAGATTAAGTTAAACTATTCATCCCTGCGACTCATGAGGTGAAAATACTATGTGCGCGCTCGCCCCCACTACACACACGCATGCAAGCAGTGCACGTGTACACACACACAAATCTTACAAATATAACTCTGGATTAATTTATTTATTTTGTGTGTGGTAATATCCATAATTAAATAATATATTTTAACTCTTAAAATATGATACATTTCAGACTGTGCTATAATTGAAAAGCCCTAAAACTGACACTTCCGGTTGGGTCCAATTCCCAATAATTGTCACTTTTCCATCTCGTCTAGAGTGATGATGAGTTTATAAGATACATAGATAATGCTATTGGCTGAGTTTACACAGGTTGTTTTAAAAACTTCAGGCAAAGCATTGCTACTATAATGTATTCAAAGATTGCAAATATTGTACATACATTTCACTGCTGGGCGATTACTGTGTTAACATTGGTTTTTTTGTGTGGCTACCTCTGTATGCCATCTGATGCTTCACTCAGTTCATGTTTATTCAGTATTCCTTTTATTTATCTTTTATATTTTGTAAACAAAAATTTTTTTTTTCAAATTACAAAATGTAGATTTTAAAAAGTTTTGAAAAAATTAGTAGTGACCTGTGTAAAATTGTTTTTTAAGGATACATTTCTGGAATTTATTCGTTGTCATTATATTAAATTTTTTTTTAGCCAGAAAATCCAAAATTAGTTGAAAATAAAGGTGACTGATAACAAGATTGAATAAACTGAGAAACTTTGACAAGGAACCAAAACTAAGGGGAGAAAGAGAAAAGACGTGTAGATACAACCAAATGTTCAGCCAATGCTTTTATAAACAAATATCTGTGCAAGCTTTTTGGTTTTCCCACCCAGATGAGCTTCCTACAAACAGTTTGTGTTCAGCCAACTCATTTATTATTAAACATTCACTTTTGTAATACAGAAAAACAAGCACTGAAAACTGGCACAATACAGCAAAAATTAGAGGCAGGTTTCAGGTTTTCAAAAAAATTTAAAAAAACCAACAGACCCACTGCTCCTTAACAAGCATGTTGTAAAAGACAAGTAATTAAAGATCTGATGAAAAAGGATGTGTTGGGCTGTAAGGCGCAGATATTGCAGCCCTGCTTAAACCAAACACAATGTGCAAATTACCCTTTTAATGGCAAATACAGAAGAAAAAGTTCACAAGAAATGAATTAAACATGTTGTCAAAGGCAAGTAACTAAATATCTGCTGAAGTAGAATGTGTTGGGCTGAAAGGCACAGATATCACAGCCGAGCTGTAAACCACAACACAATGTGCAAATCACCCTTTTAATGGCAAACGCAGAAGAAGAAAACAACCACGGCACACCATACCTATTTCACTGAAGGTCACATCCTGTCCTTGGTCTACGATTTCACCGAGAATAACATCTGCCAGTTTCTTGTCCACATTCTTCAATTTGATATTGGAAATGTCTCTTTTGCTTGACACATTACTAATCTGTTGGGGAAAAAAACATATTTTAACCTGTAATATTCCCTACGTGGGTTCTGCAGTCCCATTGTGGGGGCAAAACAAGAATAGATCCATCACTGCCCCCTAGCAAACACTTCGTAAAAGCCAACTAATTACGGGTGTCTCCATCTATGTCGGAGTGCAACTGCCCAAGAGGCGTCAGATCTGTAAAATGAATGTGCATGCAAAACTCAAGTTCTACAACAAGACTAAAGTCCAGAAGAAGATGAACAATTAGAACTTTCTGGCCGGAGTTTACAGCTGCTCAACACTAAAACGAAGAAGAAACTGCAATATTATTATCAGGTAGCAGCTCCTTTACAGAAGGCTGCTCCCATCTCAGATTCCCTGAAGAAACAAACTTTGTCCACTGCCTCATGTACTTTCTTCCTGCTGGTCAGCCTCTGCCTCTCTATTTCCTAGTACCATGCCCTCCATTACTGTTCTTTCCAAGCCACTGCCATGTCTGATACGACTTGTTTAAGAAAAAAGATATTTTTATGAGCCCGATTTCTTCGATATTCAGATATTTTACAATGTGAATATTTCTAGTTTTTTTGGGTCCATGTTTGTCAAAGAATCTTTACAAGTATGTGAAGTCATGAAAGACAATTAACAGTTTGCTGAAATCGGATGTGTTGGGCCGAAAAGCACAGACACTGCAGCCTAGCTTTAAACCACAGCACAACATGGTAACCCCTCCCCTTTAATAAAGAAGAACAAGAATTTACCAAGAACACCACATGACTGAGGTCTGTGGAGAGACATTAAACACCCAAAACACCAAGCAAGTCTCATGATGATATCTAGAAACAACTCTCAGGAATACAGACAGTGAAGAACTGTGGAAATAACTGAGGCAACAAACTCAATACACATCAGACCCACCCACACTGGACTGCAGGTTACTTCATAACCATTTTGTGGTGCACCAATATACCCGTGCTGTACAGTTGAACGAGGTGACCGAGACTTGTGCCTGTTTAATTCTCATCTTTAAAATAGTATTCCTACAAACTGCAATCCTGAAGGGGAAAACATTACACACAACCCCAAAAAAAAAAGACAAAAGAAAAGTGCGCACACACAATGAGCTTACATCAGACTGTGAGGCTTGTCTATAGTGTGTTGGCCTTCTCCTGGAGACAGGGGAGGAGCCTGGACTTGATGAGGTGGAGTACTTCCTCTCTTTGCTTCCTGGGCCACTTCTAGGAGACACAGCACCCCCACCAGTGTTGCTTCTGTTCACAGAAATGGGGATGGGTTTCGATTTGTTTGGCTTCTGTGAAACTGCAAATATGGGAAATAGAAAAGGTTAAGGCTTTCTATGAATATGCACAGAAAAATGTAGAGATGCATCAAAGACTGCTTGCCATTAATAAAATAGTGGAACAAAAACAAACATTGACAGAACAAGCATAAGTAGAATGATCGTTATCAAATGCCTTGCTGACTGGGTGATCATACCTCTCCACAACCTGTAATCTCCAATTCATTAGTTCATGTGCTGACATCCTTTCATGCCAAAACAAAACGCTGTCAAAAATCTTTTTATGTTGTCTTCCTCTATCTCTCTTTCCATAAACTGTTCCACTGATCACTACATGTTTCAGTTTCCTTCTTCTCATAACATAGCTCCCCAAAAAATTACTTCTCATAAAATGACCTAAAAAAATTGCTTTTCATAACATGGCCCCCCAAAATTATGATTGTCTCTTTCTGAGTTGAGTTGAGTAAAGAATTGACATCACAGCACTCAGGGCATTCCTATGTGTGCTCCGTCCTCATCTTCAGCAGCCAGCGCAGAGTTCCAATACTGATGGCACCAGTCATAATCTGGTTATATGTCCGTCTTACAGAGAGAAGAGAGGCACTGGAAAACATCATGACAACTGGAAAGATTAGTGGAAAGAGGGGTAGATGCAGACCAAGAGAGATGATGCTGAATGGGCTGAAACGATGGCATGGAAGGATATCATCAAGAGAGCTGTTCCAGGCAATCAGGGATCGTGATCTGTGGAGATACATGAGCCCTTATGCCAACTGGCTAGGCACAAGATGATGATGATGATGAAGATGATGATGAGAGACGACCAATCATCTTACCAGTGCAAAACTCTCCTTCTGCATTTGTCCTTAAAAGGGTGGTTGGCATATTGTGTTGGGGTTTACAGCTAGGCTGCAAAATCTGCATCTTTCGACTTAACACATTGATTTCAGCAAAGTCTCTTAACGGTTGTTAAGTCGCAGTTGGTCTATTTGTTATTCTCCAAAATGGTGCCCCGGAACTTATACGGGAAATCAGAGCAACCAAAAAAGTGCAGAAATGGGCATCAAAAAGGGGAGTACAGTCCCAACATCTCAAAGAGAGTTAAAGTACGCTTCCCTTTAGCAAACCATCAACAATAAGCATACAATAACATTGTTGTGTTTGGTAAAGAATAATAGGTTTCATCCTGGCAACAAGACTGCAAATGTACAATGCAAGCCAAAGTATACATTTACAGCATATAAACAAACACAATGAGGCATAATGTCTTCTTCTTCTTCTGCACTTGCCGTTTCGAGGGTAGTTGCCCACATTGTGTTGTGGTTTACAGCTAGGCTGCAATATCTGCATTTTTCTGGCTTAAGAAATCCGTTCTCAGCAAACCCCTAATCAGTCACTTTTTATTACGTTTGTTGGGAACTTGGGGGGGGGGGGGGGGGAGGGAAGACGGAGGAAGGGGGAGATGGAGGAAGGGGGAGAGGGGGAGGGTCTATTCTGTTTTCCTCCAAAATGGATCCCTGAAGTCCACATGAGAAGGCTTGAGAGCAGCAGCAGGAGACGGCCCCAAAGAAAACTAATGAACAGGAGCTACAGCAGTGCCAGGGTGAGAGTGCTTGCCTTTCTGGGCCTCTCGTCATGTGATCAAAATCCTCAAGGCGGGGATTTTTTAAATTTACTAGCAATTCCAGGTCATCTAGCTTAAAATGAGTTCCAGGAAATGTGGTAGGAAGCAAAAGTGGCGAGTGTGATAATGACAAAAACACGGGGCCGGTGCCAAACGAGAAATATGCTTCAAGACATGGACAAGGGGTTCTTTAAATTACTTCGGGAGCTGCAGCAGCGGCTAGAAGCTCTCCTGCCAGCCCAAAGGTCAAGAGTTTAAAGCTGAATCATAGCAGATATTCAAAATTACTCCAAGGTCGATCTAGACTAAAACTGGTTAAAAGTAATGTCCTGCCAAGTAATGACGATCACATCACCCTTGCGTGCTGACTGGTCTTTTTTTTTTTTTTTAAAGAATCCAGAAACCATGAGTTAACCCTTTGGCCCGGTGCTTTGGATATAGCTTTTCTCCCTACCCCTGGACGTGAACCTGGACCACAAGGAGTTCGTCCCCTGGTCGCCGCTCAGTCAGGTTTAACCAACTGCGCTGGCGAGCCGAGCTGACTGGTCTATAAAAAATATAGGTCTTGTGCGTTAATACCGATGTCCCAAAGGTGTGAAAACGGTCTTTTACATAGTTTTTATTAAATTTTTATTTTAATTACCTTACTTATCTTTAATTAAGTGCAATGTGAACAATAAATAGTAAATGGTAACATAACTCTCTCCCTAAGCCATGTAGCAGTGATTTTATCACCTCATTTAATTTTCTCTATTCTATGCATACACCAGTTGATGAACAAATGCAGTTTAACAGTAACGGTTTTAGTCGTTCTCCATGTTTCAGCACCACACAACTTAACTAATACTACGCTAAGAAGAAGAAGATACTGTAAACAGTTTTTTTTTATTTTAAACTATGCTAAGAAAAAGAAGATACTGTAAACAAATATTTTTTAAATGTTAAACTATGCTAAGAATAAGATAACTATAAACACATTTTTATTTTAAACTATGCTATGAAGAAGGTACTGTAAACAAATATTTTTTAAATTCTTAACTATGCTAAGAAGAAGAAGAAGAAAATGATGTAAACAAATATACTGAATTTCAAACTAAGCTGGTCTGTGCCACAGACTTCTGTTTTGCGCACTAACAATCATTTCTGATTGCTTCCATGACATAATGCCAGACTGTTCAGCAGCTTCTTTCTTAGTGTCCTCTTAAGTTATCTTACATGCCAGTATGTGAGGCTACTTCTACTGTTTTCAAAGGTAAACATGGCCGGCATGATTTTGACTACACTACCAAGTGAGTACCAACTAGTGTACAAAAATATGTCTGAGATGACATGCCCGATGTGCCACTGACGTTAAAAGGGTCCTTTACTTTGTACTTTTACTGTTTTGAAAATCTGTTACCAATAGATTATCCAGATATAGTTAAAATCTATTAAAAAATTACAAAGCATAATTTAAAAAAATAATTCACTAGTTAAGTAACATAAAAAAAAAAAAGACACCAATACATCAATGAAAACAACAATGAAAATCACAGTAACAGAAAACTACACACACACACTATATACATACATCAAGAAGTGCAAAGTGATACAGAACTAATTTTTATAAAACTATATGCACACACCTCTGACATATACTAATTTTGTTTGTATAATTAATCATTTAAACTTCTAACTTACGATTTGCCCTGATTTATCCCTAACATGTTACAAGTATGCCATGTTGTTCAATTTCCCTTTTAACTTCCAAAGGCTAGGCACTTCGTAAGTTTCGTCCTTCTTAGGACGTTATTTTTTGTTATTTGAAGCCCCACTCTGGCTTTTGCCAGGGGCCGCAATATAGGCAGGTCATCATTATGGCCAAATGTCTGAACGCGGTTTCTGGGACCTCTCCACGGTGATCCTCATCCGCATGGTGGCACTTTGTGTCATCGGGTGTTTATCGCTTGTGTGATGTCCTGGTGGGGTAAAAAATCCAATCCAATCCAAAGGCTAGGAGACTTATACTTATTTCTGTCATTTTCAAGTGAGTGGCTGATGACTAAGTAAATATTCCTTGTAATTTATTCTGATAATAATTTATTTTGGCAATCCTTGCAACGGTGACCTTAGGGGGCGTAATCAATTGGTGTTGTGGTAACCATAAGGGAGACAATCCATTGTTTGTGTATGTTCACATAATAATATTCTTTCATATTTAATATCATCTGAGATTAGAGTTAGGGTAAGAGTTAGGATTAGCTCTTAACCTAACCCTAATACAAATCTCAAACGATATTAAATATAAAAGAATATTATTATTATGTAAACTTACACAAACAATGGATTAAGTCCCCTGATGTAGGCACTTACAGTAACGTTAACTTACAACTGATTATGCTCCTAGAGTCGCAGTTGCAAGGTCTGAGCCTCCCACTGTCTCTACTTCCTGTTGAATGTTAGTGAGAAATGGTACGAATCATCATTATTTTTTCTCATATCACCTTATTGTTTTTGCTTCTGTTTGTAAAGAGACTGTATCAAATGTTTGAAACAAACACTTTTTAAAAAAAATCGCAACACAATGTGCCTAATTTAAAAAAAAAAAAAATACAGAGAAGATTAGCATGGCCCCTGCGCAAGGATGACACGCAAATTTGTGAAGGGTTTCATTTAATAAAAGAGAAGCTAGCAGAAAGCATGGTACCAGGAAGGAGGGGCAGGGGCCGACCGACACGAAGATGGGCACAGGATATAAGTGACAACTTGAGTGTGAAAGTGCATGAGACAGGAGAACTGGCTAGAGACCGAGTTTCTTTCAGGCAGACTGTGATGAGAGCGACGTTCTGCAAAGGATCTGCTACATGATGATGATGATTCCTATGTAGAAGTACAGGTGTAGTTGATTTACTTTAAAGATGTTTCTACAAATCTTTCGTATAGTTTTAAATGTAGGTTTGCAGAAAATGTCAACAAAAAATAGCATCATAAGACAATAATCAAATTTGAAAAGAAGAAAAACTTAAAAAAAACTTTATAAAATCTTCTTTTAAAACAACATGTTTCCTATAGTATTGCTTAAGCGAGTATCCACACACAATTTAATGTTTCTAGTCTTTATATTAGCTGCGATTTTAGGATTTTACACACACAACCAGAATAAACAATTGTGGGAAAACTGACTTTTAAATTTTTTTTGTCATCCTAAAAAAGCACATTGGGTGGTGTCTTTAGCATTAACTTTTCAATGCTAAATTGTTTACAAATGACACACATTTTGTGCGTAATCTTTTCTACGATTGCGAACTTTACAAAAACGAATACATTGAAAAAGTAATACTTTTGTCATAAATTGCAGAGACCCTTTAAGGCAGACACGTTGGCGAGAGAAGCTAAATTTGCTAGACTGCAATCCAT